CCATAGGTTTAATATTAACCAGAATATACTGCACGGTTAAGCAACTAGTTGATGTAATGATGCATCGTGGCGCATGTTCTATTCGCACAGAACTATACAATTTAGGTGTCTTCAAGGCTAGAGTGAATAGGCTCTTAATAAACTAGTGCGCCTTAACAACAACGATTGCATCACTGCTTGAAAAAAACCACAAGAACTACACTTAGTATGATCCTTTCATGTCTGAGTGATTTGTGTATTTGTATATTACAATTCCCACCATAGAACGTTTCCTTTCAAAAAGCTTTCCTACTAACAATAATGTTATAAAAGAAAAAAATTTTAGGTATGTGTGTATGGATGAATTGACGTTTGTTACTCTTTCACGTAAAACCTTCTAACATGATAAGAAAAAAAATTTGCATTCAGACAAATTATTTTAGTCTGCAATAACACATAGGCAACTTTTCAACCAGGTAGCGTGAGTGAGATGACAATGCTTTGATGAGAAGAGCTGAACACCGAGCTTAGTGGCATGCCCTTCGACAGGCTTATGTCCAGTTGACTACGTTGATTATGATGATGATGATGAGCGAAGTCGCTAGCAAAAGGTATTACCCAGATATAGCCTAATATTAGTTAAAGGGAAAAAACTAGGAGCCATAATATCCACATGCAACTGGCATAACTCATAGCTGACTAAATCTTTATTCACTTCAAGAATATTCTAGAATACTAAAGGGCTTTATAAATCTCCCTTGTTAGACACAAAAGACAATAAAAAACTGAAATAATTTACCGCCAACCATTAAAACATGACTCCGGTTTTCGTATTTCAAAATCGTTTGTTGTTTTATTATAGGGATAAAGTGACTGCTATTTAATAAATGAGTTTCAAAGAAAACACTTAAAACTAAGCTTTTTTCTTTAGTTTTATTTGTTCACTTAAAGTTATTGTCTTCTGCTGGATTAAACCTCGTCTTTAATAGAAGGAATTAAGTGTGAAAGAACTATTATTTTGCACGAATGGGCCAACTTGACAGAAGTGGTGAAACCAACCTTTTAGAAAACGCTTACATTCTGTTTCTATGTGTAAGTGAGGTTATCCGAAATTCCTCTGCCGTAGTCCTCAAATCCCCAAAAGATGAGCAACGATATTGTAACACTTATCATGTTCAATGAAAACTACCTTAAAATTGGACTATTTCAACAAACAGCCTTCATCGCCCCAAACACATAACAAATTGGTTCTGTACCGTCGCCTCATAAAACTAGATTATCTGTTTTTGATATCGTCAAAGCCTTTGTACCTATATGTATAGTTATTTAGAACAAACTATTGTTAAAAATGTAACACTTTTGAATCAGATTATGATAATATTTTATTGCATTCGTGCATAAATCCTTGCACCCGCCAGCATATTATAATGAAGACAATTTCTCTTAAAGAAATCTCTACAATCTCCTTCGTAAAGCACTGTAAAGGAAAGTACAAACATAAAATTCTTTTATTTAGAATCTTCTTCCGTTGTAGCAAAAAATGTTTACAATTCTAAAGAATCTAATAATAAATATTAACAGCAGAAATATAGAATGCAATGTACCTAGTTTAATAAAACGCGATGCTTTTAATGCTACTTGAAATGATTTCATAACAATCTTGTCTTTATTTCACAGTGGCGGGTAAATGCAGCCGCCTTGATATGTACTACAATAGGAATTATTAAAAACAATGCTACTCAACACAAACTCAACGTTACATTCCGTAATATTATGAAAAGGTGGAAGACGGTCTCAGTTCTTCAAATAAAATGAGAGAAAAAAATTCAACTTTAGCTGCAACGCGACTGTTGAAACATTGTTTCCTTATTACTTGGGATATTTTTATTTCTTGCTTATCTTCAGGTTTATTATCGTTTCATTTCATCATCAGCCTGTACGTGCCCTCTACTGAGCAAAGGTCTCTTGTCACACGTAGAAGGTTTGAGTTAGTCATAAAGCTTGCTCAGGGCGGAATGGCGATTTCAAAAACCGATGGAAATTGTCACATTGGTACTTGCCAGGTTTCCTTCAGAAAAACCTCCAGGCCACCACGACAATACTGATAAGTAGACACAGATTTCGTTTGATAAGTGAAAATCGTTCTATTACTTACGCGAGAGAGGATGTCACACACTTACTGACTAAGATCCACCTTGTTCCTCTCTCCGCTTAGGACCAGAGCCATGGTACATTATTGCGTTTAGCCTATCATCAACTGTTATGCATATCATCAACTGGCTGGCGCATGACGCTGACTTAAAATGTAAAGGTAACCCAATTTATAGTCAAATCAAATTAATTAAACTAATTATCAATCAACCCATATTAGCAAATTTGACAGTCAAAGAAACAGTCATCATCAGCCTATAAGTGACCACTGCTGAACTAAGGCCTCTTCTCAAACGGAAAAGATTTGAGCATTAGTAACCACGCTTGCTCAGGGCGATTTCAAATGCAATCAAATCAAATCAAAATCATTTAGGTATTCCAACAAAACCACTAAATAGGTACTTTTGAAACGTCAAAATAGAATAGTAGTCTGTCAGTAAAAGCCGTCAATAGTTTTTGTGCTTTAGTACATAAGATTTAAAATATGTGTAATGTTTTAACTTGAACAATTAAAAAAAACTAGCTAAAATACTAAAATATTAGTATTATTAATTGTAAACGCCATGATTGCCACACAGATCACTTTTCCATTGTTGCCGTCCTTGTTTACTCCCTCCTTTAAAATAAATTGTCACGAACGCAGTTTGTCGTTAAGGACCTCTGTTCACTTAGAACAATCGAATTATTTGTACTGCTTACAGGAAAATTCAATTACCCCTCCCCCCCTCTAAGTCTAGTACGCTACAATGTATCTTCGATCGCAAAAATGCAATTTACACGGAGCTAAGTTCCACTGGAAGTTTTCTTTTTTAGCTTGTTTGTTTTATATGTCCGTTCTTTTCGAGACTTTTAATGTAACGAGTAACGGAGTCTTTACATTAGATAATCTCTATGTCAAATTTCATTCAAACCAGTTTCGGAGGTTTTTGCGTGAAGGAGTGACACCTGTTTGTCCATTAGTAGGATATTTAAGTCTGAGAGAATACTCTAATTAATATTATTAATTATTCATGAGCATTTATAAATAAGTTACAAAACATAAAAACATAAGGTATAAAATAAAATAAACAACCAGTAAATATGTGAGTACTTTAGTATTTAGTTTTAGCATCTGGACCTATGGCCTAGTTCAATATTGTAGTCTGTAAATGTTTGTCTTATGTAAAGAGACTGGACAGCGCCATCTATTATTGACTTAAAGACTAACCGAGGGTAGTAGTTCGTGAGTTTATGAAACTGTTTCATACAATTTAACAACCACCGTTGCACCGAAATTATACATTTGTTAGAAACAAGGATTTTTCCAAGAAAACTCTGGAGAAAGTTGTACCTGTTTCGTTTTTTTTACAAAAACAAAAAACAATTAACGGTCAATTGAATTTTTTTTTGAAACTTATAATAAAATACCTACACAGTTCTGGTGTTCAGACCAAGCTCTTAAAAGAAGCGGGATAGTGAGAGTACTTTATTTAAATTCAAGTTACTTAAATATTTCTCTATATGAGACTCTCTTGTGAATATTTTTCTAAGTTGACAGAATAAAAAGAGAATCATGAAAATGTAGTACATGTTACCGTTTCGATTTGGGTTCAGATTTCAGAACAACTCGTGACATGTGTATGGATTTGTTTATTTGTAAAACGTACGAACGACTTAATAAAAAACCATTGTGTCAGACAACATGAACAAAAAATAATTGCTCCACTGCGCACAATTTAAGAGGTAGGTACTCGCAAGCGCACAGGCTTCGTGCTCCTATTATAATATGTTCATGTTCATCGTGCAGTTCGGGACTCGGGAACTACTTAAATAAGGAAGTTATTCGACATAGTTGTATGACTGTGGAAGTCTGTAAACTGCTAAGCACTAACAAAACCCTGCAAACCTCGCTTTAGAGATAAATTAAACTTCTCCAACTCGATTCTGCACGTAATTCATTCAAGACCTTGGAGAATTTATAACTGGAGTCCTCAAGTGGGATTCATGTTGATTAAGGCTAAGGAAATCTGCTTGGGAGTCTGTGTGTAAATAGGTCGTTTAATATTACATGTAATATTATTAATTATGGTGTGTTTTGGTGTTGAAATCGTGTTTAGTCAAATGTAATGTAGGTAGATTTAGGTTATCTTTCTAACTAGGTGAAGTCACAGTGATGGCAAGATGACTGATATATATTTTTTAGCCTTTCAGAACCGTTCGTGTAATCAATTAATTATGTACTCAAAATCAAAACTTCATTTATAATAGCATCTGTGTTCGTTTTAAAAATGGTCGAGTCTTAAAAATATTTTTTATTCTACGGACACATGGCCTGAGTAGGCTGGACATCGTGGGTCAGTTTTTAATGTTTAATTTGAATGAAAAGCCTGGCAGTGAAGGCGCGTAGTTATTTTTTAGCCTTTCAAAACCATTCTTGTACTCATATTTACACCTTAATCAGACGCCACTGATTTTAGTATCTGTGTTTCGTTTTAAAAATTTAGTTTGTGTATAGTGTAGGTATATATTAGTTTGTGTACAGTTTCTGTTGTAGCGTTCCTAATAGTGGTAGACATATGTATAGTTTTAGAATTTAGAACAAGGCAAAAATATAAAGATGTCTTTGCTTCTTTACAGCTTGAACTAGTTTTTGGTATAGGTCTATTTAGATTGCTTTTGGTTAGCTTTAATTACATTAATTATAAGTAGTGTTGTTACTACGTAACAAAGACTCTCAATAATAACTCACGTAAATTAACTTAGGTACTACTACTTTAGAGGCTTTCGTGTATAGCTTAAACCATCTGTGTATTGTTTTACAGTATTTAAGATATATATGTATAAAAAAAACTGATAAAAGCTATATACTAATATCAAATGTACGCTGACAGTCGACTGCGCTACGTCGCGTCGCTGCGACGCGCACGCTGCTAATAAATATGACCCCCGCTGTGACTTGAATTGAAACGAGTAGCGCTTTTCTCAGTTAATTCACTAGCGCTTTCCTTTTGCGACTAATATCCGTGATGATAGCTGAGGCAATGATGTTGGCAAAGAGTTTATACGTTGTATGCTTCGGTCTATCATCGGGGAAACCGCAATCTTTGTTTCTACATATAAAAAAGTTGTCGAATTATTCTACCTCTTCCAGATACATATTCGTATGTCTTAGCTAAATCGAAGGGGTGGTAGTCACGCCAGTCATAAAACAAGTATGTACGTACAATGTTGCAACGTGTAATCTTCTATATATATATAATAAAAATTAATGGCTAAAATGTTGCTAAGCGTGGGAGAGCTATGCTTCGGCACGAATGGGTCGGATCGACTGGAGTGATTTCAAGACCTAACAGAAAACCGCCGTTAAATAACTAGATGGTTGTATTTCGCCGTGTGAATGACTTGTTCCCCTCCCTAATTTCTGGATATACGAAACCCCATTCCGGCCCATAAGGCTGACAATGCACTCGTAACTCCTCTAGCGTTGCGAGTGTCCATGGGCGGTGCTAATTGTTTATCATCAAAAAATCAATTTTTGACAAGAGCCGAGTCGAGCAATGGATCGCCAGCACATTACATATAATTGATTTTATTTATATAACTTCAATACTTTCGGATGATTAAATGCTTGATCTTACTTATGTTATCTAGACTTACTGTTTCTTGGAATATAAAATGCAATATTTTTTAAATCACCCTTTATGTTTATATTTTCTAATGGTCCTGAGGTTGTAGGCGTGAGTACTGTCAAGCCAAGTCAACCCCTTTTGTGTATGTGATGTACGGACATACCTAACATATAACATTGTAGGTACCATTGATCATATACGCACTTAACAATAAATTATATTTACAACTTTTACGTCATAGGTACTTCATGTCCGAATAATTTGGAGGTATTTATTTTTCAAGAAATAAGTGTACATGTTGACACAGTATTTTTTAATCAAAATACTGAATGCCACTTTTTGTTAAATAGCGTATTTTACAACTCATATTATCCAGTCTGTCATGGAACACGCAAGTGTTGAAGAAAATTATTACAGCTTATACAAAATTTATTACCCTTGATCAGATTTCACTTGAACTCGTCTGTCATGCTGTTATATTAATATTATATGAATTTATGTAGGTGTAGAGTGTCAAAATTCTAAAATGTAGGTACTTGAATATGACTTATGCTTGTCTAGTTTTTGTTTTGCAGACCCAACGCTATTTCGGATTATACCAGTTAGTCTTCTAACGCTTTGATAAAAATCTTTTGAATGGCAGCAAATTTTTACGGTAACTCTATACGTTCTTTTTTGAAATCTTTTTTGACGCTTGAGCTATATTTTGGTATGCTTGTCTTGCTATCTAATAAATTATTTAAATAATAATAAACTCATTGATTGCCAACACGTTCAATGTTGACCGACGCAAGCGGATGATTTTCCTTCAACTGGTTTTGTGGGCAGTCAAATACTTGTAAGGATCGATCCCGTGTAACAATTTTTTTTATGAGAGGAAAATTATCAATTATCTTCTCCCGCCCAGGGTTAGGCGCGAGGGAGTGTCAGACTCTTACTGACTAAAAACTTCCGTTCCTTCTCCTGCTCTGGGTCGAGATCGCGGTGCCTCATTGCGCTTACCCCGCAACACCGGCTGATCACGTGTGACCCTTCTGTTTAAACTTCTTAACGAATTTTATAAAGAGGATTTAATTAATTGTTTGTTTATTTGAATTGAATAGGCTCCGAAACTACTTGATCTTTTTCTTGTTGAAAATGTACGCTGCCCCTGGCGAATATAAACTATGAAGTGGAACCGTGTAAATAAAACAACATAATTTTTGTTTTTAATTCATTTCATTTATTTCATTCAGTATTTGCATCTAATATCAATAATAACAGATTGTTTCTTTTTAATGCTTGTCATTATCGATTATAAGAACAGTTAAATAATTTGATACGCTTAAAATTGTACATTATGATTAAGGCAACACAGCCATCCAACCTGATAAGACATTCAGTTTGCGGCTTAGCCAGTTTAATAGTTTATAAACCTACCTATTCGGACTAGCTGTTTATTTCTCATAACAGTTCGTTTTCTAAGCGAGATTTTGCATTATAAAGGTAACCTAACCTACCAATCTGGTAGTTAATAGCATGGTTTTCATGACAATTCCATTACCTGCATATGCATGAGACATTAAAACAGCTACTTTAGCTAGCAACATTCGGCATGTCTATTGTTATTTATTATAATTTAAATAGAACATGTTTACAAATAACCCTAACCAACCATTATTATAAAAATTTTATATAGAGGAGAGAAAAATGAAGTACTTATAGTTAACAAATATTACAATGTATACATATACTGAGCGCATAAACCCCTTAAACACTAAGAGGTGCTAAGCATTAACTAAAACAACATACCTATACATATACACACACATATTTAAATACATTACAAATAATAAGTATACATAATCCCATATTTACAGTACTTATACGATATACTGACATAAAATAACGCTATTTAACGTTAAACAATATACCGAGTTACAATTTGTAACAAAATTTACAGAAAGTCACCGTTTTAGATATTTACCAGAAGAAAGTATTGGATGTCATCAATTGGAAACTACCCTTTTATATTTTAAGGATAACAAGAAAATAACTTACATATATATTTATTACTAGGAAAAGAAAATATGCAGAATAACGCTGCAGATGTCACACGATGTTGCACAGTTATTCAATTAAATCTCGATGTAATTTTTTTTTGAATTAATACAAAATCAAAAAACATCGGGATTTCAATCGCATAACTGATCTCATTACTATTAATCCTTATAATTTCAACTAAATTTCAACCGGTTCAAATCGGTCCAACCGTCTTAGAGTGAAAGAATTAACAAAAATACGGCAGATTTTCACATGCTAACTTTTGTTATAAATGCGAAAGTAACTCTGTCTCTCTGTGTGATTTTCTGTCTGTCATTTCTTCACTCCTAAACTACTGAACCGATTTCTGTGAAATTTGGTACAGGACATAGTATAGTTTTTATACAACAAGCAAGTCGCGAGCGCTATGAACGCTAGTTTATAATATTAGTAGGATGAAATAAATTGTAATATACTTCATTGTACATCAACTAAAGATTGGTTGGTCATTAAAATTTGTAGCAAGCTTACAACTAGTCTCTAAGCGAATGTGTCAACTTTTTTAAGGCTTTCCTCAGCGATTACGTTGGGCGCACAACTTCATACAAACTTGAAACTTTAAATTGTCTCCGTTTTTCTAAACTCTTTTTATCGAAAATATACAAATAGGTATAGGTAAAGGTATAGGTACAAACTACTTTGTAGAATGTTACGCAAGAGTACCAAGTTTAATTTAAAAAGTTTATTTTCCGTGATGCTCTTTTTTTCGAGTGGAAAAACAATCAAATTTCTTCTCTCGCGCTGTGTGGTGGGAAAGAGGATGTCAGACTCTTACTGACTAATATCAGCTAGTTCTTTTTCTTGCTAAAAGCCGGGGTCGCGGTATATTATTACGCTTGAGTCCGTAAAATTGACGATATCGCTGGCACTTTTATTTGGAGTAGATTATTATATGACTTGACGCGAGTGGGAGTATCTCTCTCTAGACTCTTACTGACTAAAAATCCCCCATTATTTCCCCAGCTCCATGAGCTCCATTTGTTGTACCTGCAATAAAAGTATTACATGTTAAAAATATCAAAATGTATTTATTTGAGTTAGCACAGTGTATAGAAGCTTAAAAATAGTCAAAAGTGCCTGTATGGGTCTAATTGAAATTAAACAATTTTGATTTTGACTGGACTTACCCTAATGATTGCGGGATGTTTTCCGCTTCATTCCTTCATTCTGCTGGTATAGGATCTCCTAGGGTTCAAGCTGACAACCGTAGACAGTTCCCAGCAAACTCCCTTAAGTGTTGAGTACCTAGACAGTAAACATAGTACATATATTAACCTTGATGTAGACATAATTTATAGTGTTTACCGAACGGTTTAGTAATGTTTGTCGAGAAACACATCGTCAGCCTATAAGTGCCTACTGCTGAGCAAAGGCCTCTTCTCACCCGGAGAAGGTGAGCATTAATCAACAAGCTTGCTCAAGTCGGCTTAGTGATTTTAAACTTACTCGTATAATTAGAAATTATGAGTTGGCGTTTCCTTACGAGATTATACTTAACATAGTATGGAGTATAGATATTATTTTTATACATTTACAGTAAATAAAGTATTTTACCATAGTCATTTTGTTCAGCTGTCGCCATCTGTTTCTGTTTTCCAAGTTTTTCGTTGTAAGCCCTTGTTTTCCTTGCTATTTGTAGTAGGACAAATGCCAAAATGATACCGATCAACATTTTAGCACTCACCTACTAGTAATAGAAAGAAATTTGTTCTCAGCAATCTTCAAATTCAAACATTTTTGCGCAACGCTATGTGCAGTAGTGTCTCCCAAAATATAATAAAAAAAAACGAATCTACAGGAATATTAATGGCCTATCTAAACAATGCAGTATATGTATTGCCTAACCAAACACATACATTTTTTATAAGAACTAGATAAACATGTGAAATAATTTAATAAATAAATTATCGTTTTTCGATACATAGAGAGGTTTAGATAGATTCGTTATAGCACAAGTTTAAACCTTAATCGTTGTTATATACAATTGTAAATTAATTATTATTTTGTACAAATTATAAATAAAATAAAAAATGGTATTACTCGATATTTATCATGACCAGATATTATTACAAATGTGTATACGTAGATATCTATACATGTTGAATTACTATAAAGCCTGAGAAGCGAATCTTCCATTTATTATGAAATGTGTTTGCATTTAAAGCAAAAAAAAAATGACTGCAAGAAATCAAAAATTCTTTGAACATTATAAAGCTAAATCCAATGTGAATACATAATACATACTTAAACGTGA